ATAAAACTCTCTCTTATACACATATGAGTGTCTATGGATTTGTTTCTCTTGTCTACCCAGATTAACACACACTTCATCAGACCTGATCAGAAAATATTCATAAGGGTCAGCAGCAGATCTAACTAGAGATATTTATAGGCTTTTTTCCTCTTTTATTTTTCATGTCTATTTATATAAGATAGGCACTATAAGCAATCCTGTGGAGAAAACAACAGGACCGAAAGTTCTTGGGGGATATGGGAGAATGGGAGGTGGGGGAAAGAAAGAAGGGAGCCAAAAACCCAAGGACAAGGGAACAACAAATAATGTCAAACCCATGGTGAGGAGGGCATAGAATGCCTGGTGGGTGGGGTTTGCTCAAATGCAATGTAGCTAAGAAGAATTACTAAGAGCCGAATGAAGGTCCAACATGATAGTGGAACAGGAAGAAAGTAAAAGGAAATAGAAGAAAGAACTAGAAGGCAAAGAATTTTATAGCGATATAAATATAGGCATGTATATATGTAAATATATTAATATATAATGATAGGGTTAATGATAGGGTTATAGGTCTATGCACATATAATTATAGGTTAACTATGAAGGTAGCAGACGGACATAGGGCCTCTATTCAAGTCCTCCCTCAATGCAAGAACACTTTGTTCTAACAACCTGGTATTCACTGATGCTCACCTTCCCGAAAGAGTTGCTGAAAACAAAATGGGTGCATAAGCAAATGTGGTGAAGAAAGCTGATGGTGCCTGGCTATTACAAGATATAGCATCTCGGCTCTTAAAGGCTTGAAGTTAAACAACTGGCCATCTAGCAGGAAAGCAATAAAGCCTACATGGAAGAAGCACACCAGCCTGCGTGATCATGAGGTATCGACAGGATCATGTATCAGGTATCAGGTGATTCCCCCCCCCCCAAAATCATATCGATATGAACAAGGGTCAGAGTGGAGACCCAAAGCCCATCTGTAGACAATTGGACATCCCATCACAGAAAGGTCACAAGGAAGGGATGAGCCAGCCAGGGTGCAGTACAGCATTTATGAAACATATATTTCTCTAGTTCTTTAATGTTCTCTCCTCCCTGCCCACTATCATGATCCCAGTTCTACCTTATAAATCCATCTAGACCAGAGCACATACAGTGGTACAGATAAGAACTCTTGACACACAGAATCAAGGACAGATAAACCCCTCAGGAACAATAATGGGGGTAGCACTACCACGAAGGTAAGTGGAAGTTTGAGGAAAGGGGGAGGAAGGGGGGACCGATCACAATGATCGATGTATAACACTCCCCCCACCCCTTGAAGGGGGCACAAACAACAGAAACATGGGTGACTGGAGACATCAGACAGTGTAAGATATGAAAATAATAATAATTTATAATTTATCCAGGGGTCACAAGGCTGGGAGGGTGGAAGAGGGAGGGAAAAAGAGGAGCTGATACCAAGGGCTCAAGTAGAAAGAAAATGTTTTGAAAATGATGATGGCAACATATGAACAAATGTGCTTGATACAATTGATGTATGGAGTGTGATAAGAGCTGTAAGAGCCCCCAATAAAGTGATTTATTAAAAAAAAAATCAGGGAAAAAAACCTAAGCATGCATCTTGTTATAGCATATTCTGAATTATAACAGTCTCTTAACTTGTCTATGTGTCCTAGTAAAATATAATTTTTTTCTGCAGACAGGAACTCTGAATTTTTTATTATTGGATTAACATTCAGCACCAGGCAGAAGCACTGTAGATGAATATGCATTTTTAAATGAATAAGTGAAAGAGTGAATAAATTCAATGCACTGGGATCTGACTTCCAGGTGTGAAGTAGGAAATACATGTCTGGGAGATTTTCTTCACTCATCTGCACTTACTCGTATGCTCAAATGAGAAGACTATAAACCTTGTAAGGAAAGCTATTTTTATCTGATTTACTGCCCTACCCACTGTTTAAAACAACCCGTATTTAAGAAATATTTATTGACTGGATAATCAATGTAAAATTTATTTTACACGGAAGTACAAATCTTACGATTTTTATGCTTCCTTCTGCACAGCCCATTGCCTTTCCTTTGAATGACTTTCTTATGTTCCCTAAAAGGGTGCATGCTGTTGTCAGGTGCCCTTGAATGAGCTCGGACTCATCGCCACCCTGTGTCCAACCGAAGGAAAGACTGCCCAGTCCTGTGTAACCCAACCTGCTATGTTTGAGCCCCCTGTTGTAGCCGCCATGTAAAGCCGTCTCATGGGGGTCATCTTTTGTGCCATCCTCTACTTTACCAAGCAGATGTCTAGTTCCAGGGTTTGGTCTCTCGTGATAACTCGTCCAAACCATGTGAGACAGCCAAAATGCCAAGGAGCATTCTGGCGGTAGTTCTTCTAGGGTAGATTTGCTTGTTCTACTGGCAGTCCATGGCCCTTTCAGTGTCCTTAATCCCCACAAAATTTAAATGCATTGATTCCTCTTCCGCCCTACTGATCCATCGTCCAGCCACATGAAGTGAGGTGATTCACAATACCATGGCTGGGGTCCGGCGCACTGCCGTCCTCACAGTGACATACACGGATACCTGAGTTAGTAAAGGGCAATCGATTTTGCTTCTGTTACTTTCCCCTGCACATCCAGGGTCATAGCAATTCAGATTTTATTCAAACTACACAATGTA